CCGAGCCGGGAGGAGAGACCGGCTCCTGTGATACCCCCAATGAGCGATCAGTACTGATCACCAAGTGTTTGTAAATAACCGATTTGATTACAATGTTGCCAGTTGCGAATGAACAGGAAGTGCTATACAACACTTCCTGTTCATTTATGAATAGGGACATAGTAAATATTTACTATCTGCCCACCTTATGAATGAACAGGAAGCTCTCCGTACAGTGGCTCTCTTGTCCATTCATGACTGGGGTGATGGTAAATATTTACTATCACCCCAGTCATGGATGGACAAGTGAGCCACAGTATGGAGAGCTTCCTGTTCATTGAGTGCGGGGGGTTACAGAAATAGAGGTTGAAGACTCTGGGGGAGGGGAATTTAACAAAACTGGAGCAGATAAAATTTGGAGCAGTTGCCCATGGCAACCAATCAGCTTCTCTACTCTACTAGTTTGTTTAGTTAAGATTTGAAAATGAAAGAAAGAAGCTGATTGGTTGCCATGAGCAACCGCTCCAAATTTTATCTGCTCCAGTTTTGATAAATTCCCCTCATTGTGTCCTCGATCCCTTTCTATTTTAAAAGGGAGATTACAGTGGTGGTCAGAAACCCACCTTTACAGACACCTAAAGCGTTCACTGGTGTCATGGCTCTGGTACTATGCAGGGCACCAGATGGGAGGTCAATCAATTATGGATCACGGAACCCCCGGCAACCTCTGGAGGAACCCAGGTTGAGAATGAATGAAGCAGAACATTATGGACACTCTATGAGGGTCTTCCTGGGCTCACACTACAATACTCTTCTCTGTAAATGCCACCGTTCCCTACAGTACTGAAGACTGCCCACCGCGGCCACAGGGAGCAGAGCAAATGTCTGAACTCATACTACAGAATAAATCCCGGCCCAGTGTGACCTTGTCCCTTCCCTCCAGCCTTCTATCCGACCTCCGCCCTTCTATCCGACCTCCGCCCTTCTATCCGACCTCCGCCCTTCTATCCGACCTCCGCCCTTCTATCCGACCTTTTACCCTTCCCTCCAGCCTTCTATCAGACCTCCGCCCTTCCCTCCAGCCCTCTATCCGACCTCCGCCCTTCCCTCCAGCCTTCTATACGACCTCCGCCCTTCTATCCGACCTTTTGCCCTTCCCTCCACCCTTCTATCCGCCCTCCGCCCTTCTATCCGACCTTTTGCCCTTCCCTCCACCCTTCTATCCGCCCTCCGCCCTTCTATCCGACCTTTTGCCCTTCCCTCCACCCTTCTATCCGCCCTCCGCCCTTCTATCCGACCTTTTGCCCTTCCCTCCACCCTTCTATCCGCCCTCCGCCCTTCTATCCGACCTTTTGCCCTTCCCTCCACCCTTCTATCCGCCCTCCGCCCTTCTATCCGACCTTTTGCCCTTCCCTCCACCCTTCTATCCGCCCTCCGCCCTTCTATCCGACCTTTTGCCCTTCCCTCCACCCTTCTATCCGCCCTCCGCCCTTCTATCCGACCTTTTGCCCTTCCCTCCACCCTTCTATCCGCCCTCCGCCCTTCTATCCGACCTTTTGCCCTTCCCTCCACCCTTCTATCCGCCCTCCGCCCTTCTATCCGACCTTTTGCCCTTCCCTCCACCCTTCTATCCGCCCTCCGCCCTTCTATCCGACCTTTTGCCCTTCCCTCCACCCTTCTATCCGCCCTCCGCCCTTCTATCCGACCTTTTGCCCTTCCCTCCACCCTTCTATCCGCCCTCCGCCCTTCTATCCGACCTTTTGCCCTTCCCTCCACCCTTCTATCCGCCCTCCGCCCTTCTATCCGACCTTTTGCCCTTCCCTCCACCCTTCTATCCGCCCTCCGCCCTTCTATCCGACCTTTTGCCCTTCCCTCCACCCTTCTATCCGCCCTCCGCCCTTCTATCCGACCTTTTGCCCTTCCCTCCACCCTTCTATCCGCCCTCCGCCCTTCTATCCGACCTTTTGCCCTTCCCTCCACCCTTCTATCCGCCCTCCGCCCTTCTATCCGACCTTTTGCCCTTCCCTCCACCCTTCTATCCGCCCTCCGCCCTTCTATCCGACCTTTTGCCCTTCCCTCCACCCTTCTATCCGCCCTCCGCCCTTCTATCCGACCTTTTGCCCTTCCCTCCACCCTTCTATCCGCCCTCCGCCCTTCTATCCGACCTTTTGCCCTTCCCTCCACCCTTCTATCCGCCCTCCGCCCTTCTATCCGACCTTTTGCCCTTCCCTCCACCCTTCTATCCGCCCTCCGCCCTTCTATCCGACCTTTTGCCCTTCCCTCCACCCTTCTATCCGCCCTCCGCCCTTCTATCCGACCTTTTGCCCTTCCCTCCACCCTTCTATCCGCCCTCCGCCCTTCTATCCGACCTTTTGCCCTTCCCTCCACCCTTCTATCCGCCCTCCGCCCTTCTATCCGACCTTTTGCCCTTCCCTCCACCCTTCTATCCGCCCTCCGCCCTTCTATCCGACCTTTTGCCCTTCCCTCCACCCTTCTATCCGCCCTCCGCCCTTCTATCCGACCTTTTGCCCTTCCCTCCACCCTTCTATCCGCCCTCCGCCCTTCTATCCGACCTTTTGCCCTTCCCTCCACCCTTCTATCCGCCCTCCGCCCTTCTATCCGACCTTTTGCCCTTCCCTCCACCCTTCTATCCGCCCTCCGCCCTTCTATCCGACCTTTTGCCCTTCCCTCCACCCTTCTATCCGCCCTCCGCCCTTCTATCCGACCTTTTGCCCTTCCCTCCACCCTTCTATCCGCCCTCCGCCCTTCTATCCGACCTTTTGCCCTTCCCTCCACCCTTCTATCCGCCCTCCGCCCTTCTATCCGACCTTTTGCCCTTCCCTCCACCCTTCTATCCGCCCTCCGCCCTTCTATCCGACCTTTTGCCCTTCCCTCCACCCTTCTATCCGCCCTCCGCCCTTCTATCCGACCTTTTGCCCTTCCCTCCACCCTTCTATCCGCCCTCCGCCCTTCTATCCGACCTTTTGCCCTTCCCTCCACCCTTCTATCCGCCCTCCGCCCTTCTATCCGACCTTTTGCCCTTCCCTCCACCCTTCTATCCGCCCTCCGCCCTTCTATCCGACCTTTTGCCCTTCCCTCCACCCTTCTATCCGCCCTCCGCCCTTCTATCCGACCTTTTGCCCTTCCCTCCACCCTTCTATCCGCCCTCCGCCCTTCTATCCGACCTTTTGCCCTTCCCTCCACCCTTCTATCCGCCCTCCGCCCTTCTATCCGACCTTTTGCCCTTCCCTCCACCCTTCTATCCGCCCTCCGCCCTTCTATCCGACCCTCTGCCCTTCCCTCCAGCCTTCTATCTGACCTTCCCTTCAGTCTTGCACAGTTGTACCGGCTCCTCTCCTGGATTGACATGGCTTCCTCTGATTTCACTGCACACTGGGAGCTTCTCATAATGTGCATTAGAAGCTGCAAGTCTAAGTACAGCCCTCTGCCGACCCTCCAACCAGGCTGCATTGCATTATTTAATATTATTACAGCTATTCGCCTCCAGGACTTCACTCAAGTCTCTCCCATCCTCTGGAACTCTTTACCCCAACCGGTCCGTCTATCTCCCACTCTGACTGCCTTTTAGGCGATCCCTTAAGACTCATCTCTTCAGGGAAGCCGATCCCACCTCAGCCTAACCGCTCAACCATCACGTTCTCATACAATTCATCCCCCACACAACTCCCTCCTCATGTATCACTGGCCCCTCCCCTTTTAGATTGTAAGCCCTCAGGGGCAGAGCCCTCCTTACCGTCGTCTTGAATTGTGATTGTTATGTCTTCTTTATATTGTACAGCTCTGCGCAAACTTTTGGCGCCATATAAATCCCGTATAATAATAATATAGCACCAACAGTTTATACATCAGTCCCCGCCCTTGAGGAGCTTACAATCTAAAGGTCCCTATAGTAACCAAACAGAGCCAATTAACCTTCCAGCATGGGGTGCGGGAGGAAACCGGAGTACCCAGAGGAAGCCCGCACAAACACAATGGAGAACATGCAAAATCCTTGTAGACAGTGTCCTGGCTGGGATTTGAACCGGAGACCCCCAGTGCAAAAAAGGCAACATAGAGAACCACAGAGATGCAGTGATGACATCACAGAGTATAAAATAAGGCATGTTACGAAAACAGAGGATGTCATTTAACATTTCATTATGTCCATGGAGGTGTGATGGGGGGGGACCCATGAAGACGAAACATAAGCAGATTAAACCCGAGCATTAACATATGAAAGAGTGCGGACTTACACAGCGATGTCACTTCTAGCTCTTTCCTGGATCGTTTCCATATCTTCATCATTAGATAAGCTGCTGGGATTCAGAAACACGGCATTAATAACACACCACACATGCACACACACACACGCAAGCACACAATTGTTTTTCTTCATTTCAATAGTATTTTGGAAATGTCCCATTACAAAAAAAAGTGAGAGCTGTAATGTGTCCGAGTAGTTAAAGTGACACCAAACTCAAATCTTAACATTGCATTCCAGTCCCTGAACTCGGAGCAACAATGTATCTTATTTGTGTATCACTCGGCTGTAGATCCTCCAATCATCTCTGACACCGTCCTTCCTTCTGGAGGGGGGCTACGTCTGTTCCCCATGCTCCCTGTGTGCGTTGTAAAGTAGTCACCGCTCCAAGCTCCGCCCCCCGGGATGGACTACAATCTCAATACAAATGAGTAAACTAAACATGAGATTGTAGTCCCATCCCGGGAGCGGCGACTACTTTACAACACACACGGGGAGCATGGGGAACAGACGTAGCCCCCCTCCAGAAGGACAGTGTCAGAGATGATTGGGGGATCTACAGCCGAGTGATACACAAATATGATTCATAGAAGGGAATTTATCAAAACGGGAGCAGACAAATTCTGGAGCAGCCGTGCACGGCAACCAATCAGCTTCTCTCTTTCATTTTCAAAACTTAACTGAACACAGTGAAGAGAGAAGCCGATTGGTTGCAGTGCACGGCTGCTCCAGATTTTGTCTGCTCCCGTTTTGATAAATTCCCCCTATTGCTGTTCAGAGTTCAGGGACTTGGGATGTAATTTTAGGATTTATCTCCGGAGTTTAGTGGAACTTTAAGGGCTTGTTCACACAAAGCGCGGAGCAGATCCGGACCAGAGCAGGTGCAGACCGGATCAAAACTGCGTCCAATGTATTCCTATGGTATTTTGACCTCCAGTTCACATCGCAGCGTGCGGATCCAGACCAGATCCAGACCGGATGAAAAAAATGCGGCAAGCCCTATTTTACCTGCTCTGGATCTGGTCTGGAACGCATCAAAAACGCATCTAAAATGCAAAAACGCATGCAAGTGCCTGAAAGCCCATGTTAAACTTTAAAAAAACAATTTTTTTTTACCAAAACCGGCCCTAAACGCATCCAAAACGCGTCTAAAACGCGGCACAACCCACTGCACTGCGTGTGCAGAAACCTGACCGGATCTGGTCTGCATTTGGTGTGAACAAGGCCTAAAGCGAGCACTGGGTTGTAGAAGGTGATGGCCGACATGTTCACTTCTAAACCTAAATCACTGACCTGCATTATGCCGGGGAAGCCTGAAAAGTGTTTCTCCTTTCCTGTATTTCTTGTTCCACATCATTCACTCACATGGTAGGGAAGCCTGGATCAGAATGACAGCCCCGGA